ATTGACCTTTCCACAGCCTTCCATTTTTGAATTTGGATATAAAATTTGTAAATTGTATTAAAGTATTATTGAATTGTTTTTAGAATTAATGAAATACGACACTATGATAAATTTGGATTTGTCATGAAATTTAAGAACATTAAAATTAGTATTCGGCATATGAGAAACTGTAGATGCCTATAAGATTTCCATATGACAAGAAGTCTATATCATAAAATATCTGATATCAAGGGTTAGAAAGTTTCTGATCGAAATGCAGATATTTAGTTTTAATGCTCGATAAGTTAATTTTTAGTCAACTACAGTACTATTTAAACGTTTTTCAATGTTTGCTTTCTATTGTCTCTATTTAAAGAATGTTTCAAATTGTTAGACTAAAGTTGTGGTTCTAAAAGATAACATTGCTTATAAATAACTTTTAAAGATGCCTTAATATTGAAATATAATTGATATGCTATTTTCCAACTTATTCCAAGATACGATAACATTTAGTTCAAAGGACAGCCGATAGTAAGGCAGAGGTCAGATATAATACAGATAGATTTATTTGGAAATTTCTTGTTGTTTCCGATAACAATGTCCCTTCTAATTCAACATAAAACGTCTACGATAAGAAAACCGATTTCAGATATAAAATAAAAATCATTACTGGGAGCCGATCTTTAATTTTAAGGCGAAGGAAATCTGAAAAATAGGGTATAAAATTCAAATAAAAAAAAAAGAGCGAACACTTCATAAAACATATATATAAAAAAAATGTACTACTACGATCTTGGGTTCAGTACTTTGTAACGAGGTACTGTTTCTTGATCAAGGGTTGAGCAAGGAGGTGACTTGACCGAGATCACGCTCAACCCCAGATTTTTTTCTCCTTAATTAATTATTTAATTGAAGGTACCCACTTTATAGATGTCAGATGTGCCCCAGGTGGGTCTTCCGATCCTAGGTTTGATCAGCGGTCAATGGAATAGAATAAACAATTTATCTGTCATCGCCGTATTCGAACTTGGGACGTACAGACCTCATCGGAAGTCAGCGCCCTACCTCTGAGCTACCCCACTCCCGTTAAACATCAAAAGTTGTCAAAAAATTATCAATATAACTTAATAAGTATTTGTTCCAAGTATTTATAATCCTGGATCATGCTTAAATTTTTATATTGATTGCACTAATCTCTTATAAATTTTTTTTTTAATTCAATCGGCTCTAGGAATGAACTTTAGCGTACAAGTATGTAATGTTTTACTTAGTATTTTTAATTATAAATTAAAAAGAAATACAATTTTTTTAAAATTTAGTATTTATTTGACCCCACCCCTCGGCTGACTCCTTCTCACAATATACTACACAGTTATAACTTTTCTTTTATCTTGACAATATTCTTCAAATAAATATCATTAGTAAAACATTACATGCTTGTAGGCTAAAATTTATTCCTAGAACCGATTGAATTGAAAAAAAAAATTAATAAGAGATTAGTGCACTCAACATAGAAATTTAAGCATGATCCAGGATTAGAAATACTTTTTTTTTAATTATAAATTTATAATATTATTATCATTGTACATAGAGTGCGAATTTGATATCTGAACACTATTATAAATGTCCTTTGAGACAGTAATATTTTCAATACACATAAAAATAAAAAAAATTATAAATTTATTATTATTAGATATTTTAATTAATATCTGTAGTATATTATTAACTATGGTATATTAGAGTTTGGGATTGAATCGGGTATCTATTTAACCAAGTTAAAATAATGAAGAAACTGATATATAATGTTTGTAAGTCAAAATATGGCTGATCAAACCTGAAGATTCCTAAATTCGGAGAAATTTATGTATCATTTGACGTATTGTTAATTATTTCGTAATAGAAAAACTTGTGGATTCTTGAAAATATTATACATTAATATTTAATTAAAAGATAATTTGAAATGAATACTAAATTCTGTAAGATAGAATATTGTAAGTTAAAATTAGATTTTATTTAGTAAGCAACGTCTCACATTAAACTGTTATTAAATATGAGTAATATTTTAATTCATTCCATTCATTCAGGATTGCATAAGAGTTGTTTCAGTACTTAACATTTTCACATATTATTGCGCAAGCTAATTACACCCTTTTCCTGTTCAATTTTCACATACAATGTTTTTTTCTGAGAGTTTAAAATATATAAAATATAATGAAGGCATAGGGGAATTTAGCGCTGATGTTCAAATGTTTTAACAGTCTTCGACAGTGGGAAAAAAATTATCGCTTTTGTACTAATGACCCCGAAGGTGAACATCAGAGGTTAAAGAATTAGAAATACAAAAAAAAAAAAAAAAAAAAAAATCAACGCCAATAAAAAGAAAAGAGATAATATTGTTGTTTTACGTAACAACTGCCTAATTCTAAGAAAACTGATTAAAACTCTTGTTTAATCAATTTCCATCAATATAATCTGACCCTTAGTCATAAATTTATTCTTTCCAAACATATGTAAAAATAAACGCTAATTAATTATAAAAAATAAAGTTTGAAAAATTAGTATCAATATCACATAGTTACATATATAGTTTCATTCTTTTTTTTCGAATAATCTTCTTCTAGGCTTTTACTTTACTTTAAAGTATATAATATCAAAAAAGTTTTTTCTCAAACTAGTTTAATTTCTCAATTATTGGTTCTCGAACATAAAAGTTTCTTTAATCTAAATTAAGAAACCGGTTTTAATTGACCTAAAACATCAACATAGAAAACCTGACAGACAGCATGTCGGATTTCTAACTTCCTGCAACCTACAATTATCATATATTACCTAAAACATATATTTAAGCATTTATAATCAAACCAAAAAAAAATCTACCGAAAAAAAAATTACAGCCATTGACTTACTTTTTATCATGCAACCTCTTGGGATCATTAACATATTTTTGCGTAGTATTTCTTTGGATAGTTACTGAGTTAATTGAAATTTAAAATTTTATTGTATTTAAATGTTGAGAAATAGCCGTTTATTGAAATCGAACCATGTTACGGAAGAATGGAAAATGCTTTAAAAAAATATACCCTCGTATATTTATTATGATTGGGATATAGGTATTTATTTAAATAATTTACTGAAGTTCTAATAAAAATTGCCTTACCTTTAATTCTACTGCTTCTCCTTAATAATTAAAACTTCTTCATGCAAATATTTGATTTGTTTGTATCATAATACTGTAAACAATAAACAGGGGGCGCTGACCTTCCCAAAGCTCGATTCAAGGTATATCATTCAAACAGAAACGAAGGCCAATCGATAAAAGAATTTAAACTATTTCCCTTTTATTTAAACAATAAACCTATCTGCTTATTTATTGTTAGTATTCAGGACATTATATAAACCATACAGTTACGATATTTACTTCCACGTACTTATATATTACAACCATAAATTTCATTTTATGAACTGAATGAACTGAAGTAAATGGTCGTGCTTACTGTTTAAGTTTTAACATAAAACAGCAATGATCTTTGTCACCTAGTTTGACTATTATTTTTACTATTTATTTGTTTTTCTCTTCTCCTCAGGTTGTGCTTTTTCTTTCGGGTATGTATGTTTATATTTTATACTTTTTGTCTCTTTGTGTGCCAATATGAGAATGTACGTATAAATAGTTTTTTTTTTTTTTTTTTTTTTTTCCGTTACACCACAAGTAATCTTAAGATTTTATTTTATCTTAGTGTCTGCATATTATTATATAAATCACTGTAGATATTATTACATTTTGTATTAAGTTAGTTTTCTGTTAGATAGCCTATTGTTTATAAATTGTGTAGTTATTTATACATAAATATGTAATTTCTTTTCTTTTTTTTTTTTTTTATCACAATAATAAGTAATTTTGAGAAGAGTTTATGTTCATATATATATATATTATTTTTTTAGAGGTTACATACTTTTTAAATAATATATATAATATTTAAAAAAATTATAACTTAGTTTTTGGCCAGATTAGTATTTTACTTTGTATTAATTCATCATTGTTATTCTAAGGGGACTTAGTCCCAGAATAAAGTTTAATTTTCTATTCTATTCTATATGAAATATGTATATAATAAAGGAATGGTAAACATGTTTGAATCCGAGATTTTAAAACAAATACACATTTTAAGGAGATCCTCTATAACCAAATAACAAGGTCTTGCAAAATGGGCTGTGTGAATCTGAACGAGTCGTACGTATTAATTATGATCATCTTACGAAATCGGCTCTTACTTTTTTTTATTTTACGATTTTTTTCTGCTGGTGTATACAATTTTTGTCTAGTGTTGTAAAGGAACTTGCCAGTATAACTGATATATCTGCTTACGTACCATTTATTTTATTATGAGGTACAGATCGAAAAGCAGAAGGTTTACAAAATGCCTTTAAATCTGGAGCTCCTTAAACACACTTTGAAAAGAAATATTGTGATAGAAATGAAATAGTGATCGAATATATAATTTCTGTAGTGAAAATGTCTGGAGCTTACAATGCTTTATAATACATAATAACGCTAAAAGTTAATGTAAGTTTAGTGCACAGGTGGATCTAAGAGGGGGGAGAGGGTTTTGGGGCTGAGGCAAAAATGGTAAAATATAACCATGTTTTATAGAAAAAGATATTAAAAACTATCTCTTAAAGTATTATTGTTCGTGTAATTACATTTAACAGGACTTCAAAAATCATTTAAACACCATGTCATATAGGTAGTTATTTTCTTTCTTTTTTTTTTCAAATTAATTATCCTTTTATATATAAACAAAAACTTTCGGGCTGAAGCACCCCCAAAATTAATTCCTGGATCCCCTAGTGGTTTAGTGTATCCTTTGCGTCAAAATAAAGCTTTTGTGTTCATTAGTAATTCATTTTGAATATTTTCAATATTCTTGGAACAGCTGACATACACAGGGAAATATTAGTACCTTCCATGACCGATCTAGTACCTGCCAAGTTATCTATCTATTTAGAACTAAATCCCTTACCTTCCCTCCAGAAGGACTTGCCATTCCAGTAGCAGATCACCCTGGCTCCAAAAGCTGGAGCCACCGCTAAGAAAAATAAGAACAAGAAACGCATCTTCTCCTGACTGAAGCTGGCCAGGGAGTAGACACAGCTTATATCCGCGCCGCCGAAGGAGGGGATATTTAGCTGTGGGAAGTTGGCAACACTGCGGGGGGCCTATCAACAACTTGTCTATTTAACCATTGGCTCTGAATTTGCCAAATACAGATGTTGTTATCAATTTTATATTTACTCAAAATTATTATTTTACCGTTTAATTATTTTAATAATTGTATTATTTTGGAGTAAACAGATCTTATGAAATGAAAAAAGAAAGAAAGAAAAATAAATAGAAAAAACAGTATCAAAAAGGAGTAAAACCTATCTAAAAAGTTCTATTTTAAAAGTTTCCGTGAAACTTCACGTTCTAAGAAACTTTTTTGTAATAAATTTCCATGTTTACGGCAAAAGCTTAACTTTTATTTATTAATAGTGGTGGGTAAATGGTTTACTGTCGTGAATAATGAGGAGAAGAATAGTTGGGGTGATCAGTCAAATAAGAAGGCAAAAATAAAAGATAATATTAATTTTGACATTTGCCGATGTTTCTACCTGAAGTTCAGGCCTTCATCAGGGCTAAGAAAAGAGCCAGATAATAAGGTATGAGAAACATAAGTAGTGTAGGTAAAAAAATTAAAGTAAAATGCAGTTGTTAGAATAACTTTGTACAGGGTTATTATCATTTATCTCTTAGTTCTTACTATTGTCATTATTCTAACAACTGCATTTTAATTTAATTTTTTTACCTACACTACTTATGTTTCTCATACCTTGTTATCTAGTTCTTTTCTTAGCCCTGATGAAGGCCTGAACTTCAGGTCGAAACGTCGGCAAATGTCAAAATAGATATTATCATTTATTTTTGCCTTCTTATTTGACTGATCACCCCAACTATTCTTCTCTTCATTTTATTTATTAAGTTCTTAAAGAACCGTTTGTTTGAGGAGCCATCAATAAAAATCATCGACTTTTTAGCGAAATCGATAAAACTTTTACTTGAAAAATTGAAAGGGAAAAGGTCCTAGTTAGGAAAATACTGAAAACTACCGATAATAAAAGTGATACTGAAAATTTTTAACAATAAAGTTTTTTATTTCCGTGTCAGACTCTGGTATCAAATTTAATTCATCTCAATTTTAACACTTACATTACATCAAGTTACAACTGAAACAATTTTCGAAGTTTCATAAACACCTAGAAAGTATATTTATTATTTTGGTAACAATACTTCAGCTAACAATTATTGAAAAAACTGTTTTGTTGACATTCATATGAGAATTCGGATAAAGAATTAATTACAAAATTCTTAAGTATTGTGCAATATATTATCCTCCTTGGAAATTATTTTAACTTCGTTATAAAATTATAAATACATAAAATAATAAAGTCGCCATGATACTTAATGTTTTTTTGATTAAAAAAAATTAATTTAATAGTTGTTTATATTTTACAATTTAAATATATGCCTGTTATAAAAAGGAAATAGCGGCACTGACTGAATTCATTAATTCATAATCGTTGTTACTTTTACTTTTATAGCGAATAACAGCAAATAACAGTTATGCAATATTCAATTGAATACTAAGAAATGAATATTTCTATGTTGTTTTTGTTTATAATTTTGTGTGTACTTCAATGATTACGATGCATAAAATATTTTATTAAGTTTTAATTTATAACTTTGAAATAAATGGATACATGAGAAATGTGGAACAGCATATTTGAGATATTTTGTTGTCTGCGATGAGTATAGTACAAATTTTTATATTTATTATATTTAAAAAGATAAAAACCATTCCTCCATTAGTTTTTTTTTAATATATTTATTTTTATGTTCTTTTTTCCTTCTTTTTTTTAAACATTTTACATACCAAAAACAAAATTAAATTAAATACTGACTAACCGTTGAGTGACCAAGTTGCGTGACCACAAAGTGACTAATGGGCAACCAGTCTATATAGCGCTAAGGTGTGCTAGACCCGCACAGTAGATCGAAATCGTAGCAAATCATCAATCATTTATTGTTTACTAAGATAGTTTTTTCACTAAAAAGTTCTTTATTTTTATACACTTCAAACTTTATACAGGGTGTCTTAGTTAGTGTTGCCCAAGATCGGTCTTGGTCTTGCACTTTGCAAGATCGCCTAACTGTTGCAAACCAAGACCAAGATTGACGAAAACAAAATCGTTTTTATGAATAAAAATTGAGACAAAATAGTTGTAACCAATATACTTTTGCATTTAACTCTTCTAATTTTTTATTCTAGCTTAGGTTTCCCCTATCGGAAAAATTACAGTAATAAGCTAATAGGTAACTGCAAGACTTGCGAGACTCTTGTGCAAGACCAAGACTGAGTGCACAAGACCAATACACGTCTTTTGGGAAACACTGGTCTGTTCTTAATGGTAAAATATTGGGTGTTGATTCTAGAAACTGAACTGAGACCCATTGTGTACTTTTTCATACTGAGGCGCATGCTCAGTTCGTTTCGTTCGTTAAACGCATAACATTTTTTTAATAATAAATTATATTTTAATACAAAACTGTAATAAACTAATTCAGATACTTTTGATAAAATGAATAAGATATGCTGTGTTTTGCCAATCTACAACACGACGATAGTCAAATTAAGTAAGAAATACATCCATAGCTTGGTTCCATACACTTACATTTAATATTATTATATTCCTCTCATGTACTTTCCTGGATTACGTTACGTTTTCAATTCCTACTGTCTAGTCCTCTGTATTTACTCTGTTATCTGCTAAATTGAAAAAGCTTTCATTTTATCTTGATTACTGTTTTTTGTTATGTATATCTCAGACATCTAGAACAGGTTTTGAAACAATATATAGTGTTGGAGAATTGTGAAATAATATAAAGGGTATTGAAGAAACTGATTTGTATCTATTGCTTTCCATGAGTAATATTAGTAGAGGGTTATACAATGTGTCGACAAATGACTAAATTGTTCACGATTTTCTTTTAATTAGTGTGACATTTATAAGATCTGAAATTTATTATAAATAATACTCATAGTGTATGAGTAAATAAATGTTTCTAGTATTTATGAATTCTGTTTTAGTTTTTAAATAAATTATGTTAATTTAATTTTTTATATGTTTTTATAAACAAGAATACTAACTCTTGTGTTGTCTAGTGGCAATAGACTGCTTAAATGCGTCTCCAACATTTTTCTCTACACTCTTACATCCACTATTCTGCATATATTCAGAACTGTTAATTTTCCGTTCAGCTATAACTTCTGTTCCTGATCGAATAAATCCATCTTATCTTTGACTTATCCATCGTATTATTTTGATATCCAGATCTTCTAACACATGCTACAGGACTTATTGGTGAAATTAGGACATCTTTCTTACCACATCGAATGGTCGCCGCCCTGACCTTTGTTTTCTTTATTAGGACGAACCTCCATCTTAAAGGATCTTTGACCATCTGTGGGCGACGTAGAGATCATGGACCTTATTCTCTTTGGCTCCATTTTTGTTCGCTTCAGTGCTGGTTCACAATTTCGAAAAGTATTTCATTAAACGATAAAAACTTTATGAGTAATAATTAAACAAGAGATAAGTAAAATCTACACCTTCTTTATTATTTAACCCGAAAGGCATTTATTATTGATTTAAAAGATTATTGTGCTTCCTCAATACCGAAAGTAGGGAAGCATTGTATTCGTTAATACATTCAAATCCGTCTTATGTTGAGCGATTACTGAGATTCCGAAAACGTCTTCTTTGTAAAGATTTTATTCTCATATTCAAAATTTTAATCCCTGTAATATAGATATTTTTTAGCCATTGAAAATGGTGATATATTACCTAATAAATGGTGAGGAAGCTATACTGACCTTACTTGGTAGACGTTTTTTATATAGTTATTGATTATTGACTGTAAAAAATTATTTTTGTTATAAAAGAATATTTTTCACTAGTTGGCCTGAGCTAATTATTACTAATAATATAGATTTTTTTTCTAGAGAATGAAATTATTTTTCTGTTTTTGAGGTCATCTTCAAAACGATAGCTCAATCAGTAGATATGGTATACCGACTAAAAATACTTTTCAGAAATTACCAAAGGATTGGAATTAAAGTATGTAGCTACATAAAAGGATATTTTCCTATTATAAGTGAAATTTTCGGCACTATGCACTAATTAATTTTGGGGGAGGCTTCAGCCCGGAAGCTTTTTTTTTTATATATATACCGATAATTACTTTGGAAAAAAAGAAAGATACTAACTACCTCTATGAAATGGCGTTTAAGTGATTCTTGAAGTCCTATTAAATGTGATCACACAAGCAATAATACTTTAAGAAATATTTTTTACAATAACACATGGTTATATTTTAACATTTTGAGAGGGATAACTTCAGCCCGCAATCCCTCCCCCGTAGATTCGACTGTGGCACCATATTAAGGTGATGAATGTGAGCATGTTCAACATTGCACGTTGCACATTGGTTCCTTTAACATGGCACCGACATGTGCATTAAATGGCACTCAACAGACACAAGGAATAAATTTTGTACCAACCGATGACAATTTAGTTTAGAATTGAACGGATAAGTCATTTAATGATACAGGAATGTTCTTACTACGAATATAATTACCTACTATTAATAAAATAGTTTCAGCCATGGTGAGTTCTATTACTATCTATTTCTAGAAAATCTATTGCTAGATCATTTGAAAACAGATTTCGAATCACCTTGAATGGCAAGTTTTCCATTATCCATATCTTCCAATCTTTTCTCACCATTCTATTAATTTTGTTTTTTTTTGGTAAAAGAAACCTTGAAAATTTTATGTTTTGGATACGCCTGCCTGGATGATGTAATATTCCTTTTATGATTTGATTTAGTGTTCCTGGTTCAGTCCATAATGTATTCGTGAGTCAATAGTTGAGCATTAAGGCAAATCGTTTGACCATTTACAGAAAAAGACGAGCTAAGTTTTTTTAGCCTGCAGGAGTTAGAGAAGTGAATTTTTATAGAAATTCGTTCATCTCTGTGCTTTGTCGTTTTAATTTCCCAACATTTTGACTTCCTAAAATGGTGCCATTAGTTTGGAAATTAAGTAATACTAAGTGTTTACTCACCCAATAACGCAGAAATTTTATCAATAATTTGGTTATGAACTTATCCAGAGTTGAGGAGATGAATGAAGGAAAAGTCGTTTAATTAGTAGTTATAATAAAAAAATAATATTTTATTTATATATTTTAGTTTTGTTTCCGTAAGCCTTTTTAAATTAACTCTGAATAATACATTTTAAATTGTTCAGACTGGACCAAACCCCAACTCTTACACTTCCTGATACGGATTGCAGGTTGCTTGTGTTTGTGAAACAACTCCTCTTTAGATTTTTTGTTTTATGACGAATAGTTTTCATTGTAATTTTATATTTCGTCCATTGTTTTAATTTATTACTCACTGAGTTATGACATGATCTATCACAGATCACTTTGAATACATCTATATTTATATACAATGCGTCATTATGAATCAGTTGTTCTGTGAACCTTATTCTGATTTAACTATATTCCAAATAAACTTCACATCCGACTGGAAAATCTTTATACATTGTTTTTTTGTTGGTACGAATCAAATGATTGAGCTCTCGTTTTTTTCCTTCAGATGGGAAAAATAGTCACATACATCCTAAATTTTATGGAGAAAAGTTATGAAGGAAAAGAAACTTTATTAGCGAATTACTCAAAAAGTATTCATTTTTTTGTTGATTGCTTCCATGAATATTTGAAAAATCACTACATTTCTTTCAAAACCATAAAAAAAAAAATAAAAAAAAATCATGTAAATGTATTAAAAATTTTAAGCAAAAACAGAGTTGATATTTGTATTTCGTACTTCGAGAAACTATCAAATACGATTTTAATAGCAAACAAAAACGAAACATTCTTTTCTACAAATTGGTGGCAAGGCTCCAAAATGTAAATTCACTGTATAGGTTCATAACAATTCGTTCAGCTCTGTAAAAATCCACATGATTTTTTTTTTTCGAAAATCACAAAAATTATAATTTCAGCATGCTTCCACCTGTCCACGAAAACATTAGCAGAGATTTAGGATCGCATAAACTACACGAAACGATACCAACCGGACCCTCTTAAACATGATAGAACTGGAATCATAAAATAAAACAGTGTGAAGGAGCAAAATGTGTTAAAATATTTTTTTAAGGAGAAACTAAGTTTAGATTTGCATTGCACACTTTGAAAGACCCTTACATACGGATTTTCATAGCAATCGAAAAATAAAAATTTGCAATTTGTAAACATGAATGAAGTTTTACTGTAATTTCTTTTTCCTTGGTCGATTTCATTTACGAAACAAGTAGGAAATGATACGTTGAATTGTTTTATTTGCTTATTATTTTGTCATTTGTTCACTAACCTCTATTCTTTGCGAATTATTCGCAGTGCCAACTAGTATAACATATTAAAATATTTAGGTTTATATAAATCAGCTCTATTATTTATTAATATATATTATATAATATTCAACAGTACATTATAATACTATTTCACTTCTGCAATAAAAACAACAGCAAATATTTTGAAAAAAAAAATGGTTCTTTTAAAATTAACACTGATATTTTAGGAGCGTTTAAACTGTTTATATTACATTTAGTGTTCCCCTAGCTGAAGAACAATATCGATTTAAACGTTTAAGAGCCAAATGTTGAAGATGTGACCAGATCAACCTTTGATTGGTGCCTTCTTGCCGTAGATGAATTGGGCTGGGGAAGCTGGTAGCATCGAGTAATCTCTGCAAAAAAATAAAAATTAAGTATATGAGGTTAATATATTATAGTTATCATAAATATTACAGCAATCGTAGACTGAAACATAAATAATATTTTGGAGGAGGAAGATGGCCTTGGGTGGCGGTCATAAGTATACTAAAATAGTGGCGAAACTATTTTATTTCAAGCCAACGTTTCGACCTGACTTTGCAGGTCTTCTTCAGGGCTAGAATGGATAAGATACAAAAGGATATAGGACTTTGTGGAAGTTAAAAAAAAAATTTAAAAAATACTATCTTTCCAAATCTACTTCGACTTTCTGATATAGGATGACATTTCTCTCAAACCTTTATTATTTTATTATTATTTTACGAAATAAGTAAAATAAATAAGTAAATTGGGATTGTGATCAACATTCTTCATACTTTTGGATACTTAAATAATCATGATAAGACTTTATAGATGTAGGTTCGGCCGCAAATCATCCCATGTCGGTTGGCTTTTGAGAAACGCACCGAAAGCGTTAGAATTTAATCCATATGGAAATTGTGAATTGCTGCTTTTTACAAATATTCATCACTGGATGCTCTAATACATTCATAGCCATCTAAGGAGGAAAAATCATTTCACAACTTCAAGGCCGAGAAGTAATTCAATACCTAGAATATAATACAACAAAAAAAAAAAAAATAAATAAGCTCTCCTAGATTCTCTTATTTCTTCAAAGCCATCTGTACGTTTAGATAACACTAATAAATGCAAACAGACTGTAATTCCAATTATCTAAACAAAAGAATTAACTAAGTCTGGAATTATATTATACTATTATCCTTCATTAGGAGTAGGATAGCTCAATGACTAGGTCACTGACTTCTAAAGCTCAAGGTCTCGGGTTCAAATCCGACTGATGATAGGTAATTATTTATTCTGTTTCATCAGCCGTGGATCGACTCAGGGGTCGAGAGACCGTTTTGGGGCACACTTAGCCTCTATAAAGTGGGTACTCCTAATTAGTTAAGGAAGGAAACCTGCCGATTAAGCGTCATCTCGGTACTCTTTATAGACTGTGGTGGTACAGGTTTTTTTTTTATTATCCTTCATAAAGGAGTAAGATACCCAGGGGCAGATCACTGCGATCTTATCTCCTGATCTTGGGTTCGATTACGGCTGGCAAGATATATGCATCACCGTCAGCAGCTCCTAAGTTTGAATTTTTTTTTTTTGTTTTACACCTGCCTACCTGAGATTGAAATGTTTATGTAAATTAAGTTGGTTTTAACGAAGTGCGTTTTGGAAGTCTCGACATTTTGGCCAACTCCTTCATTTCAAAAGATTTAATTCGAACAAAAAATATGAAATGATATAAAAATATGAAATTCAACTTTTTATCCGTTTTCCAATTAATAATGAAATGGAAAACAAATTTTTCTCGCATATTTTATCTCAGAAAATATTTTGTTTGTAGTTCTTCAAAAATAAAGGAAAATATGACTTTTATTTTAGATTAAAAGAAATTTAAATATATAAATTAATTTTGGACTGAAGCAAAATTTAATATAGAAATTTTTTTTGTAGAAAGGGAAAATTTAAATATATTCATTACGGGAGAAAAGAAGAAATCATTATTGTTGGCTATTTACCCCTTAGCTAGTTATCAAAGAAAAAATGAACTTTAAATAAGCACTAGAACATCATATAACTATCATTGATTTAATGCTTTTTGTTATCACACTTATGAAGAATGGGAATACCCGTTCCGATTTTAGGATGCTAATTGTTTGCTCAGTCAGTTATTCTCACAACGGTGTTTCTCGGAATCTTACGCAACAATGTCAAGAAAAAAAAATTAAAAATCAAAAGAAAAAAAAATTAAAAATCAATTGACTACATCATGGGATCTACTATTGCTCAAAAAACTATTTCTGGAGCAAAGTTATAAAGAAAACTTATAAAAACATTTTTTAGTAAATATAAAACATTTATTTTATAAAGAAGTACTATTTTTAGACCAATAATGATGCAAAGAGGTTCTTTGGCTATAGTCACGCCCAATCGCTTGTTTTTTCCCTCAATTGAGGGTAACCACTTTTTAGTAGCTGGCTTTGCCCCATGTTGTTCCATGGTTAATATGACTTTTTTAATATTTTTTTCGATAAAACATGGTTATATTTCACCATTTTTTTGGGGGGGGGAGCTTCAGCCCGAAAGCCCCTCCCGTAGATCCGCCCGTGGGAGTACCCACTTTATAGAGGCTGAGTGTGCCCCAAAACGGTCTCTCGACCCCTGAGTCGATCCACGGCTGATGACACAGAACAGTTATTTTAGAACAGGATCTCAAAAATCCAACATTCGGATCTGACGTCACTCATTATCGCATGGGTTGTTTCTCTTACAAAGCTCATTTCACTATTGAAGTATCATTTGTACAACAAACTTTTTTTTCAATCTAAAATCATGGCTTCCGGGCCTTATTGACGATCTCAATGCGGCTCGCGAGACTTAGTGGAGGTCACAATGTGGCCCGCGATACAAAAAGTGTGGAGATCCCTGTCTTAGATTATTATTGAGAGGCTAAGAGAAGAGAGAAGAGAGAAGATAGAAGAGAGAGAAGAGAGAAGATAGAAGAGAGAGAAGAGAGAAGATAGAAGAGAGAGAAGAGAGAAGTGAGAAGATAGAAGATAGAAGAGAGAGAAGAGAGAAGATAGAAGAGAGAGAAGAGAGAAGATAGAAGAGAGAGAAGAGAGAAGTGAGAAGATAGAAGAGAGAGAAGAGGGAAGAGAGAAGATAGAAGAGAGAGAAGAGGGAAGAGAGAAGATAGAAGAGAAAGAAGAGAGAAGAGCACTGCACTGACGTGTTGAGCTTGGCGGCCCTGGCGATGGGGAACTTGGTGCCGTCGCAGATGCCCCTGGAGTCGTCGAGGGCGAGGTCGAGGACGGCGACCCCTCCCAGGCGGTGCCTCTTCGCCAGCTCCGCCTTCGCCGCCGCCGTCGAGGGCTCCTCGAAGCCCACCCAGAGGCCCCTGTCCACCTTCCGGTCCGGCAGGCTGTAGCCGTAGGTGCCCAAAGAGGTCTGCGATTCAGTCATCTTCCTCAGGCTTCCTGTTCGCAACATATGATATATTAGAATCAAGCAACCAGTGTAAATGATATGTAAATAAACATATTTTTAAACTTAATATATGAACCAAATTTTATCAAATCTTATCTTTTTCATAAAACCTTTCAAGTAATTTCATATGGGTGGCGCTAGATGCGAGAATGCTAAAACGCACTGTCTTCACAATGTCTTCTTACGCTTTAACTATCTTTAATATAGGATATATCATTGATCGTTGGAAAATCATTTGTATATTTAAATATGTATGATTTTCAGAAGGAAAAACATTTCTTGACTATATCAGTAGCGAATTTAGGATTTAATTTTCATATTTTTCCTCTCTTGTTCTTAAGGTTACTTTGGAAATAAAAAAAAGTATACGAAATGTATATTTAAGTAAAGTAGTTTTTGAAAATCAATTTTTTTTTTAACCGTCCTAAAAAAATGTTAATTTTTTCATGACACTCTCACATTAATGTATAGACTTTTTAATTTGAAAATATTGAATTTGTTGAAGTAATTATTTCAGGTCACAGAAACGATTATGTACCTATGAAAAAATGTTTTTCTATTTTGGAAGGATTTCAGCCCGAAAGTTATAATTGATATATAAATATTACTTTTGTTTAAATTGTCATCTATATTCAAATATAATAATATACAGAGTTTTCCCGTAAGTAGAGAGAAATATTTAAACAGGTAACTAGTAGACCTTTAGAGTTATAAAAAACTACTTATAAATAATAGTATGATTTTCGGCAGAATAGTAGGCAATTTAAGTTTTGTTTTTTTTAAGCAAGTTGTGGTTTTTGATGAATAGAAAGCGATAACTAAAACATTAATTAAACATTCGTTTACTGTAAACTTGTCAACATTTTCTTCAAACCAAAGATTTAAAGAGGACTTTTGAATGAATAAACTAAGCTATGTAGTGATATAAAAAAAAAATGAATTATTTGCCGTTTTTATTTATCACCATCCAACTATACAATACACACCCCACTTTTAATAAAAACTTTCTGAATTTTATGAATTCAATAACCTAATAAATAAATTAATAAACTAATAAATTTTATTAGTTTTATAAGTTCAGGATTTATTATGAAATAAGTTGACATTCACATCAAGTTGTTTTCAAAAAATGAGGTGTTTTAAAAAAAATGACTGAAATAAATTATTCCAAAGCTTTGATTTATTTTTTCCAACTGCCTGGGATGTATTATCATAAATATAAATTAATATCATTATTTTTTTATTTATTACAATGAAATTGTTAAAAATAATGATTTTCGAATATTTATCATCTAAAGTGATGATAAAACTGAGTTTTTTTTTTTTTTTATTAAGAACTCTATTATAGAAATTGATCCGTACTTATAAGTGACTAATTAAACGTCTGCAGTCCCAATATCTGCGTGTAAACTAAAGAAGCTCGCTGATTGCTTGAATTATTTTCTCAAAATCGTAAATATTGGGATTGGAAACATTTAATTGATCACTTATAAATAGGGATTAATTGATTAAGAAAGTAAATAAAGTCGACAAGCTGGCTAAGCTAAAGCTTAGATAAAATAGTTACGTATCTACTTATAAGTAGATACGTAACTATTTTATTACGCTCTAACTTTACTATTATTTAAATTTTCATTCATTTTATAAGATAGTAATGTAGAAACATATCATTCGATTTTATAATTGTTTAACTTATACAAATTATAATATATCCAATTGTATTGTTTGAATATTTTCATGTATACCCACAAGCACATAAAAATATAATCCTACAACTGTCTAAACATATGTATATATTTATTTTTAAATATCCAATATTATATTTGTCCGTTTCACAATAATTATGTTCAATTTGTACACATAATATTCTCTACCGACATTTTTTTTTTTTTATCTATCTCCTCTCCCCCAATCAAAATGAATAGTCTGCGTCTATAGATGGAAAAGGCTTCAGCCTAAGAGACCTCTATCACTTGCAAACATTAGCTCTAATGGGAACGCAACTATTAAAGGTACTTATATATTCCCTTGAAGTTAATAGAGGCTAATAGATTTTTCTGATTGGATTTCAACCCGTTAGGAACAACAAAACATAAAAAAACGCCATTCATCTGTTTTTTTAACTGTACTAAAATATAATTATTACTTATATGGTTTTATTGAACTCTTTATTGTTAAAAATTAACATGGATATGAATATTGGAAAGCCAGTAAAATTCTGGCCACCTTTAAAAACCAAGGGGGGAGGGGAGAAAAAGGGACAACAGAAATTTGGCTGTGTTTTTTTTAAGATTCAAAGCTTTGGACAAAAAAAAAAAAATAATCTATTCAATAGTTCACATTCCGTTTAACATTAAATTACAAGTACATCTAAGTAAATTAAATTACAATTATACCTTTGAAATTTCTTCATTGAAAATGATACGTACGTATGTTACAGACAGATATTGTGGATAATGAAATAATTATTTTATATATACTGATATGTATATATATATATATATATATATATATATACTGTATTTTAAACTATTGAAATATAAATTGTTACCTTCTGGAGCTCTAGGATTCGATGGGCTAACAAGCCTTGTACAGATTTCGTAATAGGCAAGAAGTCCTTAAAAAAAAAATAAAATAAAACAATTAATAATTTTCTGATAAACATGTTTTATTTTATTTTACTATATTATATTATTTCATTTCAACTAAAAATAAAATTAAGGATTTCGTATGACATTATTAACTTGCTTAAGCTAGGCTTCCATTTCAATCATAAGAGAAATTTCAGGAGTAACTCTCAGATCAGAATTCACTAGAAAGAAACTCTTTCGAGATCAATTTATTTTTATTGATTCTAAAACAGATAGTGTCGTATTTATTAATTTTAACGAAAAGTGGACTTTGACCATTATATTTATTTATGAATTTACTATTTTATTCCCGAATCTGTAATTGAAAAGACATACTTGGCTTTTCCAGCCAGTATCATAGCCATAATTAAATAATATAAATACAATTTAGTAATTATGATTTCATTTATAATATTAAAACATATTTTGTATAGGCAAATAAGATTGTCAAATAGAAATTTATCAATTAAAAGCTTTAGTTATCTGTTCGTAGAAATTGTATTAAAAACAGTGTTAAGATGATTATTTTAGTTGGAAACGCTATTACGTAAGCTATTAATGTTAAAAATTTGCTGAGTTTGAATTTGATCACAAGTGATATGGAAGAGGAAAATAGTTGAATAGCCACTCCCCTCTTCTGGCATGGAAAAAAATTAAAACAATTATTAATAATAAACTAAAGTTTTTTTTTTTATTTTAAATTTTACCCATAAGTTTAAGATCCATTGAGCCCGAAAGCTTTTTTTTCATAAAAATAACGATAATTACTTTGGAAGAAAAGAAAAAAATAACTACCTATATGAAATGGTGTTTAAGTGATCCCCAAAGCCCTTTTATATGAAATTACACGAACAACAATACTTAAGAGATAATTTTTTTTCATAAAACGTGGTTATATTTTACCATTTTGGGGGGCTTCAGGCCCAAAGCTCTCCCCCCCCCCCCGTAGATCCGCCCGTGCTACATCTGTAAGTGACAAAATAAACGACAATACTTCTACCAATAAAATTAACAAATCCCAACAGACTAATTTGCCAGAGCACATTCGTATCTTATTAAGGGAAAAACGTAGAGAAAGATCGAAGTGGCACGGGACTAGATACCTATCAGATAAGTCACATTACAACAAGTTAACTAACGAACTAAAAACTGAAATTAGAAAATACAAAATTTATTTAACTTGACAGAAAAGCTTAACACTACTCACAAATTACTATGGTTTACCACAAAAAAGGTCCTGAAATTCAAAGATTTTAACAACCCATTTATTACTGAAACCCAAACCTGGTCCTGATCTGACGAAAAGAAATCTGAAATATGTGCTCAGCACCTCTTCGAAACCTTTAATCCACCCCGATATTCTTAATTCAACCCACCTTCAGTGTGTTGAAGCAGGATTGGATATCCCACTCCCACTGACTCTTCCACCTAAAGCATTCCATTCTTCAGAAATATTAAATATCATTCACAGATTAGTTTCCCGCAAAGCTCCTGGTCATTACCTAATCACATTCCAGGCCCTTAAACTGCTCCCTCAGACAGCCATACTAGTCCGCACCTATATATATAAATATATAGTAATGCTGTACTCCGAACCACATATTTACCTGGCCCTGTCAAAATTATACATAAAGCCGCAAGAATACCCATCCTCTTACTCTCCTATCTCTCCTTTACCCATTAAGGGAAAAATCCTAGGAAAACTCATTTTAAAACGCCTGTATCCCATCCTAGACTCTAAATGCATAATCCCAGATCACCAATTTGGATTCCGCACATCCCACTTCATTATTCAACAATGTCATGGTGTGGTAGACGTTGTCTCCTCTTACCGCACGGGAGTCTTTCACGACGTTGAACAGGCGTTTGATAGATTCTGGCACTCGGGGCTGATATACAAACTCCGTAAATTCCTACCACCTACATACTTTCTCATTATCAGTTCCTACCTTACTAACAGATACTTAAAAATAAATCACAACGATCCTTATTCATCTCTTTTTTTCTCAGTTTGCTGGTGTTCCTCAAGATAGTATCCTAGTATATATAAAGTTAAAAAAAACATCATATTAACATAAAATTATTTTTCATTCATTCATTTATTCATTCATAATTCATGTTCATAATTGTTACCTTTCGTCTTCGTATGAGTCCCTTTCTCGCCAGCCCCGTCGGCTTTGAGGGGTGGGCTGCCGGACAGACCGGAATCTCTAGTGAGGACCCAAGATCTGCCCCAAGTACCAATCCCCAAATTGAGCTTACTTGCTAAAAACAAAAAATAAGAATAATTTATGGATTTCATGTTTTATCAGACCATATTGCAGAAAAATTTGTTTATATGTTTAAAAAAAAAAAAAGTTGCCAATTCTTACACAATAGTTTATTATTTACAAAAAAATTAACATAAAAAATAACATTACTTTCCATACAACATAAGAAAAATAAATACAAGTTAATTCCTAATATTGGCCTAAATATTTTTATTTCGTCATTGATAATTTGTTTAAAAAATAGGCAACCTTGCTTGAGTTTATATTGGTTTTTTGGAAATTTCGTAAACTTTTAAATGACTAATACAACATTCGAAAACGAAATATAACTCATACAACAATAAAGTGTGTATACTTTTAGAGTTATTCGGAAACCTAATTTTACAGCTCCTCATAACTTTTCAGCTTATTTTCGTTGAGTTATGTTATATAAATAAATTGTTCGGGTTTCAAAAGCTATTGTCTATACCAACAGAGGTTTTTCGGCCGCCATCTTGGAAAGAAATGGTGGATAGTAATACCGAGGTAGGAGGATCATCCTCGGGTGACTTCTGACTTCGATTGGAAAAATTGGATAAATTGGAAAAAAACGGTTCAATAGTTTCAGAGAAAAGATTTTCGAATTCTGCTTATCATGAGACGTAAACCCTCAATTTTTGAGGAGTGAGGGGAAAGGGGTTAAATTTTTTAATTGTTTGGACGATTGCAATCGTTCATTATTGAAAATAATTAACCAAAATTAATAGTGTTAATAATCTAGGTGAAGACAAAATAATTGGGTATTTGCAAGAATTTTCAATTCAGTTTTCGTCGGGTAAGATTATAAAAATATTACGAGGTCATACATAAGATCATAAAATTTAGGTTATTATAATAAGCACACTAAAATTCCCGATTTTTTCTGATGTACATTTGCTTTCTCAATTACCTTTAAAAAAAATTGTTGTTTACTTAATTTTTTTTAAACAAAATATTATATAATAATTATGTACAAAATATGTTTTTTTTGCATACATAATAGAGGAAAAATTGGGTTACAGTTTTGAATTTAGTATTTTACGGTGCCAGAGAAATTTCTTCCTCGGAAATCTTGGTTTCTCTATACGGCCCTACTTAAATCGATATTGATTCAGATAAAAGGCGACAGAATCAAAGAAGGAAGTGCTGAGTGATTCATTTTATTCTTACATTTCGGAAGTGAATATATATTTTATGAATAATTGCTGTTAAGTTGGCTTGTAAATGGAATCCAAAGAGGTTTTCAACCGTATTTAAAAAAACAAAAAAAAAACATTACCTACATTTAATTGTTATTTACATAACAAACATCTAGATTACATAATTAACACGACTTTCTAGTTTTAAGACGACATAGCGTAGGATACACTGGAGTAATGATATCAACTTACGTTCTGCTCCGTTGTTCAACCAATGCCTTATAACTGCTTCGGAGTTCTGATGTTCTAGACGTGGTTTTTTAAAAGTTAAAGGGTGGACGTAGTCTGCCTGGTCTGGAGATCTGTCTGGCGTCCTGAAGTCGACTGTCCACAAGTTGACCATGTCCACGTAGGGTATGAGCGACCTCACGTCGAAATATGCTGAAATCATGCTGCTAGGATCAGTCCAAGGAATGGCAAAGAATCCTTATTTAAATAATATCTTGATTATTAATTCCTTACCGGTAGTGTTGATATGCGGAAGGACAGCGATGGACAGGAGCTTCTTGTCGGGCCTCAATTCGGCTTTGAGCTCCCTGCAGAGAGCTATGAAGAAGTCCCTGTGCAAGCTGGCCTTCTTGTCGACTCCAGCTCCGAAGGCACTTGTGATTTTCTGCCATATCGATCCTTCAATATAAGATAGAAGTATAAGTTATTGGCTTATTAGACTAAGAAGTGAAAATAAAATATATAAATTACATAATTGGTAAATGCTCGACTGTCGTGGATAAATACAGTAAAATAAATTACAGTATAAATAAATTACAGAATAAATTAATTAAGTAAAATTAATAACAGAATAAATAATAGTAAAAAACAGATTTGCATTCAAAGGATGTTGTTAAAAATATTTTGAAGTACATTTAAACCTATGCTTAACTCTTAAACAAACTCCTCCTTAATTCAACTCGTGCTAGAAGTATTCGGATTTTATTTGAGTAGTTCTGTAAGTGGATGCAGAGCACTCATTATATATCAGAATTTTATCGAATTTCCAATTTTCCAGTCATTTACTTAAATTTACGCCCCAAAAGAGTTTAATACTTGGTTATTTTATGTATAGTTGTCTTTTCTCTCCACCTCTCCAATATTTCCTAGTTGCCGTCGGTAATGAGTGAGGGAGTAGGATGTACTTCTGTGAGCTGTTATTCTTGGTTCCCAGATTTCGAGATCTCTTTGAATGAGTTGAAGAGTGGTTCATCGATTCCAGATAGAAAGTCGCTGCCCTCAAACATGTTTTAAATTTTTTATTGCTAATTTTATTATTAAATACAAAATATAATTGTTTTTCTGAGTTTAAAAGGTATTTAAAATTCATCCGCTTTGATGTACGTAAAATAATTAAAACTCCAATGGATATATTTTATTTTATAATGAAAATTATTAATTATTTTCGTTATGTACCTACATTATTGTAACATTGTATAGAGAATAGCCCTAACCCTAGGTTCAGTTGTGAATTCGTTATAGAAGGTTTAGGCTCATCTGCTCTACTCTGTAAAGTCCCTATAATCCTGTTTGCTTTGCAAGTGAAAGTCCCCGGGTTCGATCTCAGACAACTCAAAATATTTTTTGAGATCGTGATGGTGGAGCTTAAACTTCAACATTCTCGAGTACTGCGCGATGGTGGTTCGAATTGCCTGGCCTGGGTGGGTTGGAATTTATTTCATGGCGGACTTGGTTGTATTTCTAAAACAATCACCTCGTATGCTGTAAATAGAGAGGTGTGGAGTAGTTGTTTGACACAGAACACATTCAATACATTAGGCAACCCAAGAAGAACATTAAAGGCTGAATATTTGTTTAGGAGACCAGCGTACGGCTACAATGATACCACTAGTGTTGCCCAAATACGAGACCGAGACCAGTCTTGGTCTTGCTAACTCAGTCTTGTTCTTGCGCAAGAGTCTCGCAGTTACTTTTTAGCTTAATACTATAAAGATATTACTTACATTTTTTAGATAGGAGAAACCTAACTAAGTCCGAATGAAAAATTAGAGGGCTTAAATGCAAAAGTATGTTGGTCATACCAATTATTAACATATAGTAACTAAAATTGTTGAATAACTGTTTTGCCTTAATTTTTATTTTAAAAAATCGATTTTTTTTTACCAGTCTTGGTCTTGGTCTTGCTACAGTTAGGCAGCCTTGGTCTTGATCTTGCGAAGTGCAAGACCAAGACCGATTTTGGACAATACTAGATACCACCTATATTCTGGACCAGAGGCTATAGGTTATAGAAGGATACATGAAGATAAGATTAAACTTACAAGGGGAGGTTACTGACGTGGGATGACCGATTTCAATGGAACTATTTTTCGACCTAGTATTACCAAAAAATGTTTCATTGAAATAATAACGAATCGCCAAGGTCAAAGAAAAGGGATGGAAATAACCCTGATTCCACTTTGGTCCATAATAACCTTAATTTACATCGACATTATAATTTAATGATTATGATTTAGTTTTTAAATTATACTTTCACGTTTAAGTATACCAGAAAAAAACATATAATTCATTTGAATAGTTGGATCAGACTGGATTTTGCTTTAGTAGTAAAATGAAAATTTATATATTTTTTAAAACTGCTTCTATAGGCGAAGATTTAAGCGGAAGGCAAGAGGATAATCGTTACTTCCCAATAAAAGAGGAGAATATAAAAAAATAAAATCAATAGAAATTAATCAAATTCGACTAGATGGCTAAGCTATTTCCTAGAATTAGGTATGCGAGATTATTTTACTACAGCTTACGAGCTCAATAATAAGTTTCTATTATTGAAATTTTACTTTATATTCATAGATGATTATATTTAGCAACGAACTGTAGGAATAGCAACATATTAGGATTTTATGATTTACTCATGACCACCCTTCCATTCTCACGTTACAATTTTAGCACATTTCTGGCAGCATATTTGAAGCATCGGAGAATTGACAGTTCACTGCCTCAAACCTTCAAATAAAGATTATAAATATGTAATATATTCAATTGATTTGTTAACATATTTTCATAATCATCCATACGCAAATTCGTTCGTTTTACAATAATTATGTTGATTATTTTTATTATCAGCCACAATTTTTATAATAATATAAACCTGCTTAGACTTTTTTTGAGGGAAATGGAGGAGTCATCCGCAACCAGAATAGAAAGTCTGCGATTATGTTCCATACATATTCGAGCGGTGTCTTTGTTTTTTGTGTAAATCGACCATAATGGTAATAATTATATGCCATACACCTAATGATATTTTAAATTTCAATTTTTAACAAGCTATAATTTATAATTAAATCATATTATTTTTACTCGTCTTCTTAAGTCCCCTTGTTCCAGTACCTAGGTCCGGCTACTCCTCTTCCTATTTGGGAGGTACAGAACTTTATATTCAGTGTTGTACTTTTAAAATGAAAATATTGAAAATAAAATTACCCATTGCTGATTTAGTGGTCTTCTCTTCCTGGTGTGGGAATTGCCATGCGAGGTCAATGCCATCGAAATGGTATTTATTTAGTAATTCTACAACAGAATCAACGAACGCCGTCCTTCTTTCAGGTTTTTCGAGCTAGCAAAAATAAAAAAATAATAATAAAAGTATCTTTTGGATAAAAAAATATAATAATGAATACTTTGACATTAATGTTTTTTTTACCACATCTAAATATTTGTCCATATCATCGGTGTCTTCATAACCGCCAACAGACAAGAAGATGGGCAGTTGTGGATGTTCTTTCTTCAGTGCTGTAACTTTCTTCCATAGTCCCTGGCCTAATGATAAACAAAATCTCGAAATTTATTTTGATATATTTTCATGAATACAATACATAAGTAATATTAACGGATTACAATGATGATAATATTGCGATATACTTAGCAATAAAGCATTCTATTGATTATAACTGAAGATTTTAAAATGATAACAATTTTCTAATACCTTTATCCGTATCCAAATCCAACTTCTTGTCAATCGGTTCCAAATGGTAGTTGTCGTCGTTGATGGCCGCATATCCATATATGAGGTAAGAACACTGAGCTAGTCCTGGCCTGATATCATCTATAGTTACTTTTGCGTTCCCTATAACAAAATAAAACATTTCGTATTAAAAATATTTACAGTATTTAATATGTATTGGATATTTTGCGCTCATGAGGCGAGTTGCCAAACTTTCGCAAAACTACTTTTGGTTTTTGTGTTACTGTTCAAGAGGGTTACTTTGTTTCTTAAAAAGTAACATTGCTTCAATTACGTCAAGTGTCGGTTAAACTCTCTAGGTTGTTCAACTTAATCTATTATTATTAAGAAACATGTATGTTTATTTTTATATAGTTAGATACATCTAATTTAATCATTTATTTATTTCTTAGCCCAAATTTCTATAAATATAACTTCAGTTAACATTTTTAACCACTATAAATTGGGGCAACTGTTAATATTTCACTATAAATGAAAGGAATTGTCTTGATTTGTTTATTGTCTATTTTTTTCTTCTTCAATATGACTGTATATATCAGGAAAAAAGGTTATTTGATGGATGAGCCGATAACAAACAGAAAAAAAGTAAGGTCCAATTTTGTGTGTGTTTTTTAAGGTGTTCATGGTTTTATTGAAAAAGCAGGGATTCCTAAACAACTGTTCAAGATAATTAAATTCAAAGTACACCATCGTAAAGTAGACATATATTTTTTGAGAAAACAGTGATTTAATTTATTAGAGTCAATGATAAAAGGCCAAATAGCATATCTCTAAACCCGATTCGTGAAATGATTCGGCATAATGGTAAGCTTTGCATTTTTAGACTTTCTGAAAGTCTCTTTTATGATTGAATTTTGTCAATTTAATCACTGTCTTTTCAAAGAACATTTAGTCTATTTGACGATTATGAACTTGGAATTTAATTATCTTGTACAATTTTTGAGTAATTTCTTCTAATTCAATTTCATTAGAACAAATTACTACGCCTTCATGAAAAACTGATCACCTACATACGATGCATTATTGAAAAGTTGTGCTGTCGTGATGGGATTCGGATTCCATTTTCATTGACGTTTATGGTTATCTTTCCGTTCTTATGGATGATAAAAGTGTGAAGATATAAGCTGTATGTCTAACATGAAACGAAAATTTTGAAATCAGAGTGATAATTCTAGAAATTAGTGCGTTCAAAAGTTAGTACATAGTATGTGCTACATATATATTATTAGTGTGGTTGGGAAGATCTGTCATAAAGTTAGGTTTTAGTAGAAAAGACAGGAACAAAAGAAAACAGATAAACGAAATCAGGCCACATTTTATAACAAATAAAAGAAAAAAGTGACCTAATTAAATTACTGATCACGGTAGCCCCAACGCCAAGTAAGTATATTTTTAGGTTATTTCTTATATTTAGGTTTTTTTATTGTATATAGTTTTTATTTATTATTATTTAGTTATTGTTTTACTTTGTTAATTTTTTTTTTTTTTTTTTTGTATACACGGTGTGAATGTGCTCATTTATCAATATAATTATTGATCCCTGTGACAGAATATTGTATGTCTAAATAAACAAACAAAAAAAAAAAAAAAAAAAAAAATTATATTGATGTCATATTATATATGTTAATAGTCTCAGAGATAAATCTATTGATAGAAGTAGATTATTAGTTGAATATTTTAACTTATATATATATGAAATTAAAGGAACTATTTACTTATTTTAGTTGCTTAATAAACATAAAAATAACTAAATTTTGTTTTTATTTAAATTATGGTTTGTAATGTCAAGCAGTTTCATTAATTCGACAGATGAGTCAAATATTAAGTAAACGGTTCACTTTATCTGTTAAAACATCTTCTGTTATTATTTAAACCATATTTTGTGGAATGGTATGATAATAAAATATAAATGCTTGTACATGTTATGATAAATTTAATGCAAATATTTAATGGCATTCATTTATCACCGATTTCATCCAATGGATACCTCGAATTCTTAAGTATTATTCAATCTTTCATGCATCTGTCAGCGTTAAAATTATTTATTTGAGATTTGTTGCGGTACAAAGATTTTATTGTACAAAGACGGGAATTCATTCGAGATCCTTTAAGACCCAAATACTTTTAATTTTGCGGTGGTTTGTCATAAAAAAAACAGCTACGTTATGTGCTTTAGACAACACGGTAGAAGAGGAAATGGAATTATCAACTAGGCGAGATTAATAATGCAAAATTTCATTTTTTTTTTGTTCAATATCCACAAATTTTTTTTTTTTGTTTATTGATAAATATTACAATCTGTCTCAATAAAGGACATTTATAATAGAGTTCTGAGAGCACATTCACACCATATTTACAAATAAAAAAAAATAAAATAAGCTAACTTCAAATAATATAAAGCTACAAAAGAACAAAATAAAATATCATAGTGAGAAAAAAAAAAAAAAAAAGTAATGAAAATAAACATCTTAGTCGCAGGCATACCTATTTACAGTCGTCCATAGGAACTCCGAACCATACTTATCCCCCCACACGTGGAGGGAAAGCAAGGCTTCAGGAGATCCCTACGCTTCTTCCTCAACCATTTCACTGGCATTGAAAGCCAGCGGAGATTGAGTAAGGGCGCTACAACCACGGACACTCATGACTTGAGTGGAGAATCTGGCCATTGCCAGAACTCCAGTAGATTCACAAATTAATAACAATTACAATATACATAATTATAATTCTGTATAAACTATTTTCTGTTCTATATTTACAAAATCATAACATTTACAATATATGCAATTATAATTGTGTATAAATTACTAAAGTAAACTTTGCCCTGACTGATTGTCATTTGTATCATATGATAACTAAAATATGTGATGTATACTTTTGATTGAAATCTGTTTACTAAATATCAAACAAAAACTCCGTATTTTTTTTTTTTTATATTATTATTACTTCTGTAACGGGGTCAATAATTTGTCGAAACTTATTTGAGTGCAAACAAAATCGAATAGAACACATAAGTTTTTATTTCTTATTTTTATGGCTAATTATATTAAAAATAATAAAAATATCGATATTGATTTCCGCAAATCAGTTTCTGAATTCTCCATGGTATTTAAATTTTGAGATATTGTTAATTATATTTATTAAAACAAAAACTTGAAACCCCTCTCCCAAAATCAAATCCTGAATCCACTACTGGTTTACTTCTAAAACGACGTCGCGTTAAGACACAATTTAGATTACATCCCATTATAAAGAGAATGAAATTCTGAACATTTCACCTCGCTTACTGTATGCAGGTCCTTTTTTTTAGTATCTAAGATATTTTAAAGCATATCTTCAATAAAACTCGTTATCGTTTGGTTATCGACACTTATGTTTTCTCTTTTCGCCTCACTTACACGGCGTCGTGTAAAGATACAATTTTGAATAATTGTTCATTACAAAGAGGATGAAACGATTAATATTTCCTTACTTACAATATAATGGTCTGATTTTTTATTTATGAGATATTTAATCCATAAGTCGAACACTTCAACTAGTCGACCCAGCCAACTTTAACCGAGCGTTACACATCCTAGTCTGACGACTATCTAATTCATTCTCCACCAAAAACGTGTCTAAAGATGTTTCCACTTAAAAAAAAGAAAAGTATCGATGAGAACTAGGGATGTAAATATATTAATATAGTGTCTTTCAGTATACATTTTTGGCTGAAAGCATACCTTTATATTCTTAGCATAATTTATGAGAACTGGTGCTTCTAACTATACCTAACGTAAAAATTCTTATTTCCAAGCAATAATTTTATGTAATTTTAACTGAATCACTAAGTTTTTGTTAGTTTTTGATAGATTAATAACCATCTTTTTAGCACATTCCGTACAACTGGCGGTCACTAACAGATTTTATTTTTAAAGCACCATGTTCAACTCTAACGTGGAAATATTTTTAAGAATGATTTATCTGACCAACAGACAGGCTTATTCTATTTATTCTAAAAAATGGTCTTTTTAGCTCGTTTGGTGAGAAATTGAATGTAAATAATTTTACTGATAGCGATATTAGCATCTCTTGATTATATAAAATACAGCAATTATAATAAAACTTTAATTCTAATTGGCAGTGTAAGTGCCATAAAAAAAAAAATAGAAAATCAAAATCTTTAATAATTTCGATTTTAGAAAAAACAATTAATTGAACGACAAGGGAAAACTATTATATTTGTTTAAGTTAGGGGCTATGCAGGTATTATAGGCAGTATGTCAGTAGATTATTTATCGAAGAAAGCAAGAAAGAGACAGATTGATGAATATCACATACCTTTTTCAGTGAATTAAAAATTTCTGTGAAGACCGAATAGCAGGAAATATATGAAAAAAAAAAAATAAAAAGGGAATCTTTTATAAATCTCACAGCCCACTAGTAACAATGGAACCCTGGTTTGGTAATAGCAAAGCTCCTAGAAGTTGGATAAGAACAATGTGCAGATTGAGAATTAAGCATGCTATCTCTGGGACCTATCTACCTTCATATAATAAAGAGAAAAGACACAGATATAGTGAATTGTGTGAAGTTAAACCCGGCCCTAAACATACATAGATGTCATGCATTAAATATGCTGCAGAAAGATACATTTTATCAATAAAATTAAAACTCTAATAAATGAAGACAATCCATCTTATATTGATATCACTTTATAAACTCCATAAGTATTAAATTACAAAAAATATAGGTTGCTTGTTAATGATGAAGCTAAATAATCATTCGAAATAATTACTATTTAAAGCCTTGTAATAAAAAAAAAATCTTTTAATTCTCATATCATCCCACTATGTATAGTAACGAAATCTTCCGGAAAAAGAAACCTTCCATCATCACTATCTCAACTCTATATCAACTACACACCTCAAGAGGCGTGGAAAAAAAAAAAAAAACTCTTTGAATAAAGTCTTTATAATGAAGTATGGTACATCTAGACAAGATGAAAAAATAAATTCAAATAAATGGTTATCCCGAAACTATTATTTCTATAATAATGCCCTACTATTTCTAAAATATTACTCCAATTTATTGGGATTTTTTTTTCAAGAAGCTACCTACAACCTAAGCCGACTTACCTTCCCTCCAGTAAGACTTGCCATTCCAGTAGCATACCACCCTGCTCTCGAACGCTGGAACGACCGCCAAAAACAACAATAATAACAATTGCATATTTTTTCTGTCTGAAAAGTGGACCGCTCTGTGTCCGCTTTTATGTAACTGGACACAGAGTAGGGGATGATATCAAATAACCGGTGTTATCGATCGACATTACAACACAATTTAGAAGATAGCTTTTTGTGGGTTTATCATCTTAGGCACTATCAAAATATTTATGGGAACATATTAAGATTTATCAATCAAACCGAATATCCGCCCGATTCTTTCAGTATTTTTAATAATCTATTTAATTATCTATTTTTAATAACCTATATTTAATAATTTACGATTTATAAGAGAAGAAAATGACATGGAGAATTTATAACATATTAAAAAGAAAAAAAAAAACTAAACAAATCATTTGGATTTAGGCTACTTAACAAACGCTATAAATTATCCTTAACTAACAAACTAACCATCTAAAAATTACTTATAAAACATTTACGGAACATTGACATGAGACACTGCCAAATGTTCTAACATTATGAAAATTCAATCTCTCCAATCAAAAAAATAGAGGACGTACTGTTATATGTGAGAAAAGACTTATTACACAAGGACGTGGATATACAAACAGTTTCAGATACAACCACAGAATAATACAAAAACTTCCACCTCAGACTGGCCTACCTCTTAATATGAACCTTTCGACCATCCCTACTAGGGGTACTTATGCACTTGTTGTAAATGCTTAATGTGCTAAACTGCTAAAGTGTTATCAGTTATAGTAAGGTTATGCCTGTACCAAGTTTGTGAGTTCTTAATTGATTTAATAACGTTTTGATTTATTTTTAAAATGACAAAGCGAAATGAAGAGACTGAATCTTCATGCTGGATTATTTGATTAAAAATGCTTTATTAGAAAGAATGAATGAAGATTCAGAGGGCAAAGAACTTGATGAACACTTCGATGAAATCCAAGTCTTTACATTACATTTATGTGGATTTTGTACACAAAAAATAGTAAGTGCGGACCCTACACGGTCATTCGGAATTGCATTCTGAGGCACATTTTGACGTTCTGATTGATCCTGTAAGGTACTGATTGAAGTACTGATGGACGTTTCTGGTGGATTTCCGAAAATCCGAAAATCAAAGGTTCAATCACGAGATGTGGAGGAGAGACTGAGGTAAAAGTAGTGGGGGGACTAACCATACTACTAGATTTACCTAGGCCTCACAACCAATGTAAAAATTCCTGATTTTCATTAAAAGTAAATAGTTTTTCATATCTCTTGTTTATATTTTTATAAACCAACTTCAAATAATTTTTTTTAAATAGTTAAGTGGGCAATAAATTTAAAAAGAAAGTGTGATATTCACAGGTTACTTATAGAAAAAAAAACCTTTAACCGTTGTGTATGTTTGTCAATTCTTTTTCCATTTTTCTTAACAAATTGATTATTTTCGCAATACTTTTCTCTTCATTTTTTTAAGTCAAATCAAATCAAACATATCAAAACCTTACAATAATCTTATCGATGCTTTTACGAATTTAGCAACAATTTACAGGGCCCTTGGCTGTGTTAAATTCGAAAGTGCTAGTGGCCATATGTAACACTCATATTGTAAATAATTTTCTCGACTCAACTCTGGTTGCATGAACACCCCTTAAATTTGTATAGTCTAATGAAGAATTTTTAACTAAATAATCGAGCATGAAGATTCATTCTTCATTTTGCTTTGGAATTTAAAAAATAAATTAATACGTTAGTAAATCAATTAATAACTTACAAACTTTGTTTACAGTAGAGGCATAACCTTACTATAACTGATAACAAGTAGCAGGTGGCACATTAAGCATTTACAAAAAGTGCATGAATACACCTAGTATAAGAAGTTCATACATAGTATGAACTGAAACATCCAACATGAACACTTTTGAGACTCTAGCCATGAAACTTTCTGACTTAAACTAAATCCAGTTATGAATTTTCAGATACATTATTATGGAACCCAGATAGCATTGATTCGCTTTTTGCAAAAAAAATTTTAACGATGGCAAATGTCAGGTCTGCCAAAAGCTATATGTGTATAATTATATGTAAAATAATGCTAAATTACAAAAAAAAAATTAAATTACTAGTACAAATTAAACGTAGTAGTAATACATTTGGATAAATATAGAGTTCCTTTAAAAAAAAAAATAAAAAAAAAAAATGGTATCTTTTGAAATTGTTTCATTTATTTTATTGAAATGTTTACAATTATTAAACATTAAAGGAAGTTAGCCAAATGTTTACATATTCTACATATTCCCTGGATGTTCTGTACGATTACAGGATTATTGTGAGATGTACGGAGTGTAACACCATCAGTAATTGTTACCTGTAAAGTCTGATTGTACTCCGGTCTGCTGTGAAAATATTTAATAGTTATGGTTCCAGTACACTGCTCTGTTGAACTCCTGCTCAAAAATATATGTAGGCACGATGTCATTTCTTCTTTTGTGCTGTATTTGATCATATAAAAACTATAGAAAACTTGATAAAAATAATAATAATGAAACAAACATTTATAAAAGCAATGTCTTAAACGATTTTCTTTGAAATCGTAAGGTCCAAAGGTCATAGCAGAAATAGGGAATTCTGGTTTATTTTATCTTAACGAAAATTAAAATAATACTTTATGATTATACAAATACGTTAGTTTGAAGAAAATATCTTTTATATCAGGCTGGTTTATCGTTTCAAATAACTGATTTGATCATTATCAGGCATATTTCACTTACAAAATTGTTATATCATGTAATAATGATTGATGTTTATGTTTAAATAAATGGATAATTTATTTGTATTTAGTTAATAAACACACATACATCTTTAAATCTTGCTAGGCAATAGAAGGATACATCTTTATTGCTATTTCTATTTTTCTAAACTTCATTTTATTTTTTATTTGGTCTATTATTTTTAAAAATGAACGTTTTAATCCACTAAAAATGAATAAAACCTCACAAATTCCCTCATAAGTTTTGCGTTTTATTGCGATTGTTATAGTACAAAATTCGAAATAAAAAAAAATCGTCCCTCTGTCATCAGCCATTTTGTTTATAAATATGTTTATAAATAGCGGCCAATTGGATGTTCATAGACCCATACCTTAGTCACTTAAGATAAGGATTTAGGAAAAACATAAAGTATTATATAATCATTATTCAAAAGCATGAAAAAAAAAAGTAAAATATTAAATTTCAATACAAATATTTCTTTTTTTTAATGTAATTTATACCCAAATATTTGAAAATAATGTAATAATTTGCATCTTTTTCATATATTATTGCCTGCTAAGAACAATTGTATCTGAATTAAAAAATAGGACGTTTTAGACACTAGCGGATCTAATTTTGGGAGGGGGGGGGGAGCTTCATCCCGAAAGATTTGTTTTTCCTATACATATAACGATAATTAATTTGAAAAAAAAGAAAGAAATTAACTACCTATGTGACGTGGTGTTTAAGTGGTTCTTGAAGTTCTATTAAATGTAATTAAACGGACAAGAATACTTTAAGAGATAGTTTTTAATCTTTTTTTCTGTAAAACATATACACATTACATATATTTACATATGTATATTACATATACATTACATATATTTACATATGTATATTACATATACATTACATATATTTACATATGTATATTACATATACGTTACATATAAAACATATACATTTTACCATTTTTGGGACTTCAGCCCGAAAGTTCTCTCCTCCCCGCCTGTCCGCCTGTGGTTTTAGATAATGGAGTTAAAAGTTTTATAAAATAAAAAGTGGATAGTTTAATACCGACCAATTTCGTATTATGGTGTGAACTCTCCAATACTGATAAATATCAACAGCACACTTAATTTGGTCAATTTCTGTCATCTGTAGGTTTATGCATTGAAGCAAGAAAATACTTAAATTTTAGTTTTATCTAATCTATACTCGATCAATGAGGACATTCTCAAAACCTCAGCTTAAGCCATTTTCGAAGTTTGTTTTTAAAAGGCGATATGGAGTATTCTTATAATCAATATTTTCATATAGAGATATTTTACTCTAAAACGATTTTGTTTGTTATCCGCGAAGCCTCTCATTTTGTAGAAATTCCTGAACTAACCCAGTAGAGTGGACGTTTCCTTGTTAAGAGTGTACGATGTTAACAGAATACACAAAAGCCAATTTACCAAAAGAGGCTATCTCTATAAATGATAATGTCTTCACTCTGATATTGGATATAATTAATGTTTTATATTAATTTGTATAATATTGTTGATAATTAAATAGAAAGTAGTACATCTGTTTGTTAATGGTACTAGATTCCCTATGAATGACAAATGATTTATTTTATTATTCGGAAATATCTCTAGAATATTGTCAAACCATATACCCTTTCTGAAATTCATACTTAAAGCACGAAGTAAAACTTAACTGGTTTTAAAAAAAAAACAGGATTTATGAAAAACATCCTTAGACTTAAACATCCATATACTTAAAGTTATTCGTCATCAATTGGTTAATTCCCAGTTTGCACATTCTATTCCTGGACTTTTTATGTATGCTTTTTAAGGATGTTCAGTCCTCATAATTATTTACTGCTTTATAAAACAGCTGTATCTTTGTCCTTATACATCAGCTATCACTAATGTTACACAGTGTCAGGAGTGCCCATCCATCCCAAGGTGATGGGTGATGATCCATATCCTCCCCTCTTCATAGATTGTATTACTCTCCTCTTCTTAAAACAGTGCAAGCGAAAGCAGGATAAAACAAATTGTAGAACATATACAATTATACTTAATCATATACAATTAGGCTGTGGTCCGTCCCATGTTTTCCTCCCAGTTCTCTGATTTGAAATTTTTCACTCCGAAAATTCATTCAGTCCAAATATGCCATCCTAAAAGATTCAAAACCTATTCAAAATGTGCCCCCTCAAAAATTTTGATGGCCATGAAACCCCCTTCTGGGCTTCTGTGTTCGCTCGTC